TACAAATATATCGTATATTTTATATATATATATTTATATATATACATATATTCATATATATATATATATATTTATATATATATTTATGTGTATGTGTGTGGTTGTGTCGGTTTGCATGTATGTTTCGGTATCTTTATCTTTAAATATAAATGCGTATATTCATATGTTTTTGCGAGTGTATTTTTGCATCTATATATATATATATATGTATATATCTGGATGTATTTTGTTTTTATGTTTTTATGTTTTTATGTATTTATGTTTGTGTGCATGTATGTATGTATTATACATATACGTTCTGAGTCAAGTTATCACTTTTGGGATCGAAATCGATTGCGTGCTCTAAAAGATTAAAGATCGTCGTTCTCTATCAATCACGACAGTGAGACGAAACGCTTCAATCATAATGCACTGGAAAGGAAGAGGAGAATCATACAGAAGGACAGGTTGCAGGTGCGTGACGCAAAAGGATCCCATATCGCCCATGATGCACGTCAAAGATCTGTTTATACTTTAGGTGTTGGATTTTACTGATGATACATATTTGGATATCTATAAGGTACGCGTGGTTTATGTGGATATGCTCATACCGGCCATGGGTGCGTTACACAGGTTTGTGTATTATTTTTAGGGTCTCACTTCAGATGACACTTTCGAATCTTTTAGATAAACGTGGTTTCTCTGGATCTGTGCGTTACAGTAGCGGACGTTACTTCGGGGAGTTTCTCGACCACGGGGACAATGGAAAATCCACTTATATCTCTTTATACTTCATATATACATCTGATACAAATCCGGGTGCGGACGTTGCTTCAGGCAAACCCTTGACCATGAAAGTGCTGCAAAAGGCGTCGAATATATACACTTGCACATTTGTATCTATCCATACTTCATATGTACCTAATACAAAAACCTTTGTATCCACATGAACCAGGATTTACGGGAACTAGTGCCAGACGTTACCTCGGACAAACCCTCGACCATGGAGGTGCTACAAAAGGCGTCGTCATACATACGCAGGCTACACCAACAAGTGAATGTGAATACCACGGAAATGGACACCCTTATCTACCGCAATACGGATCTCATGTCCCGATTGGCTGCTATTACTAAGTCTCGCAACTTGCCGTGGCCGGCGGGACAACCTCAGTACACTCCTCCGGGTATGTGTCTCTGAACTGAACTCGATATAGTTATGCACACACCCTATACACTTCCGATTGCACAGGACTTTCACGTTAACTGCGAAGGCGTTGTGTGTGTACACTATGGTTATAAGCATGGATGTGTGTGTTTATGCCTAGCCTAGCGCGCAAGCCCTGCCCCCTTTGGCGATACATTCAAGAGTTTATGATTGCAGGGATACTTGGGAGTACACTTTCATATACATGTGGTGTGTAACTTGCATGCATATTCTGGAAATATACATGTGGTGTATAGCTTGCATGCATAGTCTGAAAGGCTTTGTATGTGCACGAAGAGCATATGATAATGGCACACATGCGACTCTGAATGTTTGCACGGAAGCCGAGCAGTTGTCCTGGTTACCTTTCCCGTATGCGTCAGTTGTCCTGGTTACCATTCCCGTATGCGTCAGTTGTCCTGGTTACCTTTCCCGAATGCGTCAGTTGTCCTGGTTACCTTTCCCGTATGCGTCAGTTGTCCTGGTTACCTTTCCCGTATGCGCACAGTGCTATATATACTCTTTGGCTTCATCCTACCACAGATGATTCTTGTTCATGGCCCTCATGCCACACACGCATTACTAGAGAACACCGTCAGTTCTAAAAATAGCTTTTAACTGGTTTATAAATAGCTAAAATAGATGTCGGTATTGAGGATCACATAACCTCTATTTCTGCCACAGATGTCTCGGTCAATGGACACCAGGTTACGCATACGCCGGGCGGGAGTGCGGCTAGTTCTATAAATAGAACATTGCAGCCAATGACAGCCCCAATGGCACACAGTTCGCACTATGCGTCAACACCCGTAGCACCACCACCGTCTCTGAGCTACGACAGCGGTAGTGGTGTCAATTCAGCAGGTGTCAGCGTGTCAAACGGGTTCAATACCAACGGTACCTACCCCGGTGGCGACTACTCACAGAGTGCCAGTACGAATGCGGGCCATGTGAATGGTGTTCATGCCAGTGCCACCCATACGAACAGTGGCCACACTGGCGGTATCAGTGCTCAGGCTCAAGGGATCAATCCCGGTAGCTATAACCCGGTCAATGACAACCCCAGCAGCGCCGCCAATCGGATCTCCGCGCCTCCGAAAGGCACTATCAACTCGAATGGTGCTCCTTCTAATAATAGCACCCAATCCGATGGCGGGAATGTAAATGGTGTCAGTGCACAGCACGCTGCGTCGCAGAGTATCACCTCCGCATCCCCCTCGTATATTAGGCCAGTCTACATCAGCGTATGTATTGTATAGAGGTTGTAGTTCAACGTTTTATGATCTTGTCTATCTAGCAGCATGGTACACGTACATTTTTGTATATATATACATATACTATATGCCGGTGTGAAGATGTTATAGGAGTTTAGAGTTATATTGGCCTATACACGTCAGCGTTAGTGTGCTGGAATCTGGTATATCACATATCAAATGTTTCTTATAACGGAATGTTTAAATGGCTACTTTTCTGCGTGCGTGTATTTGTGTATCAAATGTTTCTTATAAAGGATTGCTTATATAGCTACATTACCGCGTGTGTGTATTTGCGTATCGAAGGTCAGGCTACCTACCGGTGTGAGTCATTCAGCGAATTTCACGATTGCATATATGAGCTATTTTCTTCCTGTGTAAATCGATTGATAAGTGTACGTGTCTGTGTATAGCTGTGAGGGCATCTATATCACACTACAAACTAATATGGCAATGTACTGCATTGGTGGATTTACTTATAGGCAAACAGATTTATACCTCACAGATAGTTCAATTACACAGATCAATTATACGTAAATGACCATAGATGCATGCATATGCAACGAATGTGTGATTAACGGATATATAAATTGCGTTGCAGATTGTGCGACATAGATGCAGGAGTGCAGGATGTCTCTGCTAGCAAATTGCATGGACATTTAAAGGTGACAGAAGTGTATACATAATCAATCGTATGAGACCAATTTAACGTAGTTGCTAAAACTAGTCACTTGGATCCCGAAGCTAAACAGAAGTACATACGTCAAACTCATACGCCATTCCTACGAAGTGTTCCTACGAAGTGCTAGCAATTCACTTGCGGAGAAACCTACCGGAGGAATATCCGTTGCAAACATAATATCACGCTTTTGCATTCTTCGCGCAGTATCGACCCCACTGTGTTTTCAAATAGTCTTCCTCGGTTTCTCATCCAACTACGGTATTTCCCCGGTTTCTCATCCAACTACGGTATACATATGAAGGGAATGACTGAACCATAGCCTCGCGTTAATTTTTTGCATCTATCCGTGCAGCAATCATCCTCCAACACAGAGTTCCCTATCAGCGACCCGACCAGAGCTAGAACAAGCATGTCCATCAAAACAGGTGAGTTTAGGGTTTAGGCTTGTGTCGGTGACAATGAGCATGTGCAGCTATTCTAGTGCAGTTATTTTAGTACTTAGTGGAACTAGCACTTGTGTGCTGAAATGTTAGTGTCCAAGACCACTTCTCATGTATTCTTGATGAGGTTATCCGTAGTGGAGCCAAACGCTTGCATCCCTAGAGGTTATCCGGAATGGCTTTTCCCTATTTATTTGTTCTTTTTCTAATGTGTACGGAGGAGTTGGTGTGTCGTTGTATGAGCATTTCATATATATATATATACATATATACATATATATATATTTATATATGTATATATGTATATATGTATATATATATAGATATATATAGATATAGATATAGGATATATGCTTACATATATATATATATATATATATATATGTATGTATGTATGTATGTATGTA